AGCTCTCCCGGCCCCGGCCCCGGCCCCGGCAGCTCTCCCGGCCCCGCAGGCCCAGCGCGCCGCGGAGCCCTTCTCCGCCATGGAGTTGGAGGATGACTTCGGTGAGGCTCGGGGTGGAGTCTCGCGGGGGGAAGGGGAAGGCGGCCGCCTTCTGCTGCAGGCGGGCCCCGGCCCCAGCAGGTCTGTCTCTGTGCCTGAGCCAAGGGGGCTCCAGTGGGTTGTTGATTATTTTAACTAGGCCAGTGTTACACGTGGGTACCACACCACGCGTGCTTCTGGTCTGGCCTTTAGGAAGCATCTGAATAAAGGGACTTAATTTGGTTAAAGCGTTGCTCCGGCCTGTAGCTATTGTCTCAGCTGGCTCCAGACATACATTGTTAGGATTGTTGTGGATTTGTGTTTGCATGCAGTATGGCTAAGGGACGGGCATCTCATTTGCACATGGCATTGCTGTGGTGCCCCAGAGGCTTTGCTCATTGCAGCCTTGTGTTAACTACATCTGTTTACCTGATGAAGCCGGCTCCTGTAATTTTTGCGTTTGCTGGCTTGTGTACTGTGGTGAGGGCTTTCCTCTTCCTCTGGTACTCACCTCTGTCTCCTTCCTTTTACTGGTATTGCGCTTGGTCTGATCTTGCGTTGAGGCAGTTCACAGAGAAACCACTTCTGGTTGTTCTTCCAGGGGCAGCTGAACCAGTACAAAGCTTGTCAATCCTTCTTAATGATGAAGTCTTTAGTTTTCAGCTGTTCGAATGACCTAAACTGTCCAATGGAGGTGAGAGGTGCTCACAGGTGGCAGAGCTGACAGCAGCAGCACTGTACAGCTGAGATGGAAAGAAGGATTAGGTCTGTCCTTCCTTCCTAGTGGCTCACAGCATGAAGTCTGCTCAGTGTGACTTGTGGAACAATGTCTTAGCTAACTGGCAGCCCATGGGCTGATATAGCTCCCTGATCTGGCTGTTGAGACAACTGAGCACCAATGCATATGTAAGAGAAGGGGATGTGATGGCAGGAGAGAGGCTAAACAGCAGCAGCCCATACTTAGATCTGTTTAAGCTGCTGTGTAATCAAATCCTAAACATGCTAAATGCCTGTGCAAAAAGAGTGGCAGAGCAGAAAGACGAAAGAAGCCTGGTTTGGCTCTCGTGTGTACCCTACAAACAGACCCACAGGCAGCAGAGGGGACCTATGCCTCTTTCTGGCTGCCTCTCTTACTCACTGAGAATATGGAAATGTGGGTTTTTTTAATAGATATATTTATATTTTAATGTATTTTATCTATAGATAGATAAAAAAATTATATCATGTATGCATGCACTTATGCTTTACTGTTCAGTGCCTAGATTCTTAGGTGTTTTAGCCAGTTTAGTAACTCCTCAGCTCCTAAATAATTGCATGACTTATGAAAAACTTTACTTAGAAGTCATGTGCACCATGTTAGGCACACTGCTTCCTCAGAAATGAAGCTAAATTGTCTGGCATTCTTCTTCCAGCAAAACTAGTTGTTGATCAAAAAAGATTTGGTTCAGACTGACAATGTGCCTGAAGGCACTGGTGGGTGTGTCAGCATCCCACTGATTCTCCTCTAAGATAGCTGGAGAAGTACTGCTGTCCTCGTTCACTGTGAGTAAGTGTGGTTACCTACCTAATATGGTAACTTAAAGAGTTATTATGCTCAGTGCTGACTATTCTCTGTTTTGACTAACATCCCAGTCACTGCAAACTTCAAAATGAATTTGGTTATGCAGAACAGGTGCCTGCCTTAATGAATGGTTTCAAACTAAGAATAACTGGTTGAACTCCGTAAGGTCACAGCCCTAATGTGGTGGTATGTTTTTTCCCACTTCGCTTAGTGATGCTAGATCTTGTCTTTCTAACTAGGTTTTCTTTTTTCCTCTGCTCTTCCGTTCTACTAGATGTTTTGGATCCAGAGAGGTTAATACAATGTCCATATAATAAACATCATCGAATCAGAGCCTGTCGGTTTCCCTATCACCTTGTAAAGTGTAGGAAGGTAAGCTGGACTGCCTGCCAAACGAGGCACTGAATGGGAGTAATTCTGTGCATGTAAATATGACATGCCTGTTCTCATTCTTGTTGCATTTTCTGGCTGGCTGGAGTAAGTTCCTGACAAATAGCCTTGTTTAGCCTCTATTTCATATAACTTCATTTTTTGTTTAGTAATAGCTTCAAGCACATGTGTTGTGGTTTAACCCAGCAGGCAGCTGAACACCGCACAGCCATTCACTCACTCCTCCCTGCCCCCTGCAGTGGGATGGGGGAGAGAATCGGGGAACAAAAAAAAAGTAAAATTCGTGGGTTGAGGTAAAGACAGTTTAATAGGACAGAGAAGGAAGGGAAAATAATAATAATAACAATGATAAAAGAATACACAAAATAAGTGATGCACAATGCAATTTGCTCACCACCCGCCGACCGATGCCCAGCCGGTTCCCGAGCAGCGGTCACCCCTCCCCCAGCCAACTCCTCCCAGTTTATATACTGAGCATGATGTTACATGGTATGGAATGTCCCTTTGGCCAGTTTGGGTCAGCTGTCCTGGCTGTGCCCCCTCCCAGCTTCTCGCTGGCAGGGCATGAGAAGCTGAAAAGTCCTTGACTAGTGTAAGCATTGCTTAAAACATCAGTGTGTTACCAATATTATTCTCATCTTAAATCCAAAACACAGCACCGTACCAGCTACTAGGAAGAAAATTAACTCTATCCCAGCTGAAACCAGGAAAAAATGTTAATTCATGTAAGACCAGTGTGGCTCAGTTGAAAGGAGATAGAGATTATTCATGGTTATGTCAGGGAGGAAATTTTAGTCTCTTTCAGCAGCTCACATGGAGGTCAGATACATTTTTCCACTTGAAGTTGAAGAGAGAATTCAGTTCGAGTTACGGGCACCCCTTCTGGCTAGTCAGGGTAGAAGTGTTGTGATGTTGCAATTCATTCTTTAAGTGCTGGAAATGCAGCTGCATAGCAGAGTGGGTTTTTTTGGTTTTGTTTGGTTTGCTAATAACTATTTAATATGCATCTGGCAGAAATTCCACATCCTGGGCTCAGCACATATAGGAGAGGCTTTTTTCCCCCCTCTGTTATCCAGAATTTGAATACAAATCCTTTATAGGAAGCATTCCTTCCTCTCTCCTCTGTTGTCCTCGTGGTTTGTTTTCTTTAAACCTGTCAAGTACTAGCATCTGACTGAGCTTTGGGTTTTTGCTGAGACCTTTTAAAACCCAATTGTTCCTCTTTAAGTTTACCAGTAAGTTTGCCAATGTGTTTTTAAAATAGTATAACAGTGCTGTGCCTTCCAGTTAAGATGCAGTTCTAGGGTGTGTGTCCTGGTATCAGTACTTATAAACAATTCATTTTGGTAGAACTAGAGCCTTAAAAAATACTAAGCAACTAGTGAAAGCAGTGGACAGAGCTAAGTGGCAAGTACCTTCATGCTTCCAACATTCAAGAGGGCTGAAATTTTCCTTGTTGACCCCCCTGCAAATTTTAGCAAGAATGTGCACGTGAGCTAGGTGAACAATGTTGGCAAGTAAACTTTTAACCATGTTGGTTTTGTCCTTCTGTTGCATAACTGATGACCAGACAGTTTTGGCAAGCTTACCTCATAAGGAGGATGAGGTGAGATAGTGATCAATAATCAGATGTAGCTGTGTCTGTAAGTAATTAGCAGAAGAAGGGCTTGGGGATTATCATCTGATCCATCTGAAGATGCCACTCTGTGATTATTTGCAGTGGCAAGTGTCTGGGCGGAGATTGTCCTTCTTGCTTGGTAGTTTGTTGAATTTCCTTTGCATACCCTATGCATAAAATCCAATTAAACGCTTCCACCTGCCTCAGCTTCCCATTGCTTTGTGCAGAATGCAGCCCTGTCACACAAATGGGGACACTGCAAGCAGGGCAAGTTGAATCCTCTCAGCTTGAACTGCGTTAGCAGAAGCTTCTCAATGCTATGTGGCCAGAATAGCTTGCCCAAGCTAGTTGAAGCAACTGATGGACACATGAGGACACAGTAACCCTAGCTGTATAGACCAGGTAATGACAACTGCCTTGGATGTGCCAAGCAGTGTCTGTACGAGGCACTTCTGTCTCTGCACCTGCCTCAGGTGCGAGTCTGATCCCTGACCAGCAGAGCTGCATCAGCCAGAACCAGGCAGGCACTGGTACAGTGGCAAAGTTGTGCTTTTCCCAGTAAGGGCTGTATCATGTGCAGGGGTGGACTAATTTACCGTAGTGATGGCTGAGCGCTGCCAGTAGAACCTGTGTCTGTGATAAAGTTTTACTTGAATGGTAATCCTGTAGCACCAAAGTCTGCAGGTAGAACGCTGCCATCTCCCTAGCTGTTTTGAAAGGTTTAAGGAATTCCTCTGCCTTTGTGCCTGCTTATTTAAAAAAAAAATCTGAATGGTTTAGATTTCCCTAACATCTCTCCCCTGTTGTTTTTAAAATAGTTTCATCTGTGCTTTAAATGATGCAGCCTTATTGCCAGTATTGCAGTAAATTGTAGGGAGTTTAGCTGAGAGTATGTTTCATTTCAGTCAACTCAGTGGTGGCTCAGTTTCTCAGTGAATTGTGTTTTAAAGAACAGTCATGTTGGTTGCCCCTTGCATTTTTAGTAAGTGTCTGTGAACAATATATTGCCATTCCTTGTTTAGTCTTTTTTTAAAGCAACATCACAAATATCCTTGGGGTTTTTTTTCTATGGATCAGCAAGAGATCAGTGAACTTGAGAGAGATTGCACATGATTTGGTTTTCCCTTGTCTAGAGCTACCCTGAAGTTGCAAAGGAATTGGCCACGTGCCCCTTCAATGCTCGCCATCTAGTTCCTCAGGCTGACCTCAGCGATCACATAACGAAGTGCAATGACAAAGGGTTCATTGAGCAAGATATAGGTAAGAGAACCACCCATGCTCCGAGATGTTTGTTCACCCTCGGGACTGAGATCTCCTGTTTGTAAGGATAGCTCATAGGATAATCGAAAAGTGGGAGTCAAATTATTGTCTATAGCTTTGTGTGACACAGCAGCTTTGGGGAAACTTGAGTCTTACTTGCTTTTGATTTATTGGGTAGGTTCATGAGAATATTGCAGATGCTCCCAGTAGTCCTTTCACGTATTTTGTTACCAGGCTTGTTGCATAAAAAGGTTGTACCCTAGACTGTGCACGTTGAAGTACCTCCAACAGGAGCTGGGATGCTTTAATGACCAGAAGGACAGGCCCTTCTTTTTGTAGAGCTGATCTCCCTTTGTAGAGGCTTGACCACTGATGCCATGTGAAAAGCTGATTTCTACCAAACGGGTGTCTAAGCTATGGAAACCCCTGCAGCTGTTCTCCTCCAGGGCAACCTGAATAGTTCACTCTCACCAAGAAATGGGGCAGCTCCTCTTCCAGGCTCCTCTGCTGCTGCACTTGCTTCATCTGCCATACAATTAAGATTTCAGTCTCCAGCCCAGTGAGACAAGGTGGGAGGGGGGCTGTCCAAAAACCCCCAAAATATTTAGGAAGGCATCTTGTGCTATGCAGTGTCTTTTACATCCCCTGCAGTGGCTCTTTAACTATTGCCACACTACAGAGCAGATAGATAGTTTTCTATCTTCTGTAGAGTTGCACTTAGGCTAGCAGTGATGCTTGCATTCATGAAAGCAGGTTTCCTTTCACTCAAGCGTTCCTGCTGCAAAGTTCCAGGGGCAGATTCTTTTCCTGTTCATTGAAAAAAGCAAATGTGAAGTTGATTGATTTCAGATCAATACCTGGCTCCTGGGCGTACCTAACCTGTTTGCATTGTGCAGGGTTTCCTCTAAAGCCAAAAGATGTTTTACAGCTTGATCTAAAGCACTTAATGCCTCTGAAGCAGAATTGACTACTAGTCACTGAGTTTTCTCTCTTCCTGAAGTGAATCAGTCCTCTGGCTTCCAGAGAGAGCAGATGAATGCTGTGAGCACGTGGCAGGCACCTCCATGTGATGAAGACTGGGAAACAGGTGAGGAACTTCCCTGTCTGCCACACTGCTGCCTTCTCCCTGGTCCTGTCCTCAACTCCACTTGGGACAGGGCGAGTCCAGAGATGCTGTTCACTTAGGTCTCAGTTGTAGGACGCCTTGCTTATGCTCGTTCCTAAAAACATGCATCTCTCAACCCAGCAGGCTTTTCTTGGTATAGAAAACTATTCAACATGCCTGCCATAACTGGCATTTCCAAGCACCTGCTCCTTCCCATATAGGCTCTTGTACCTTATGTGCAATGATGACAATGGAAACATGGTAACTTTTATGTTCCTCGGTTAAATGACAGTGAAGCAGACACATTCATCATTAGATCAACTTTTACTTCCTCTTGAACATGTAGAAATTGTCCAGACAGATATTCTGATCTGATCATGGTTGCTGGAGTTTCTTAGTTCTGAGCCACAACATCTGTTTCTTTTTGCAGAGTCGCTGGAGCAGTCACATTCCCCTTTTGTTTGGGGCATGACCAACTCTGGCATAAACAGGTAGCAAATGCAAGTTTGATTCCTTACAATGTTTTGTACAGAGGAATATTGCAGCTGACTCCCAACCCAGCCTCAATGGCTGGACATGGGCTGACTTTGCTGCTGTACAAACCCTGGGAGGAGGGAAACTGATTAACAGTGAACGTTCTTAGGGTGCTGGTTCAGTGTTACTTGCTTTGGATGTGAGGAAAAATTTCTTTACTGAAAGAGTGGTTAAACATTGGAACAGGCTGCCCAGGGAAGTGGTTGAGACACCATCCCTGGAAGTATTTAAAAGACGGGTAGATGAGGCGCTTAGGGACATGGTTTAGTGGGCATGGTGGTGTTGGGTTGATGGTTGGACTCGATGATCTTGGAGGTCTCTTCCAACCTTAATGATTCTATGATTCTATGATTCTCATATGACTGGCCCATACAAGAGAAGGAAGCCCTTAGGAACACAGATACTCTCTGCTCTTGTATGCGTGTGGCAGGGTGCTCTTCCTGCCCATGGCCTATGTTCAGTTCCCGCTGGATGTCTGGCCAATGTGCAGGGGAGAAAGGTGCTGAGCCCTTATGCTGACTTTGCAAATGAGGCCAGGTGCCTCCCTCTGGAGCCTTTTCAAACAGTTACTGAGGTTCTGTTGAGCTAATAGTTAGCTAGCAGTCCCTTGTGACCTCCTGTCACCTTAGACTTGGCAGACATGCTGGCATTAGGGCCCTATGTTAGCAGAAAACTTTCCCCTCTTGCCCTTTGCAAAGTGTGATCACAGTTTGGGTTTGGGGGAGTGAGGAGCTTAATGGCCAGCTGCAAACTGGATGGAGCTGCCATGACTGGTTTCTCATACGACTGGCCATGATCCGACAGTGGATCATGATTGCAGGCTGTATACAAGATGTGATGGCGCCACCAGAGTTGCCAAAGCATGTTTTAAGGTTCTTCTAAGCCCATATGCAGCAACAGTCCTGCACTTGACAGCTCTGCAGTTCTGTATGAGATCAACCATGATGACCTCTCCTTCCATAAGGGGTTGCAGCAGTGCTGTCTGGTTTCACTTGTTACACTTTCTGGAAAATTTTCTAGTGTTTAGTGCATATATAGCTCTTCTAAGCACCACCACCTCTGAGTGGCAAAGTACTATACCCTTATGTCCCTGCTGTCCTCCACGCTATAATGAAATGCATAAATTTGAGCAAGTGCATTTGTCAGGAGAAGTAACTGAAGTCTTTCAGTTCCAGTGCCACCTTTGAACAAAAGAATTGCTTGCCTTCGAGAGTACGTGCCCCTGAGTCCTTCCCATATGCCGTATCATGGAAAGGCTGTAAGTACTATGTATGTGGTTTTGGCACACCATCTACAGATGGTGACAGTTGCTGAAATCTCTGGCTGCAGCAATGCTTTATGGCCACCGGTGCATGGACAGGACAGGTAGTATATAACACCTGCCTCCTTGAGAGCAGCTTCTGAGGGAATCTGATGCTTGGATCATCCTCTGTATCCTTTCTTTGAAGCATCCTCTGTATTCTTTATTTCATATTCTTGACAGTCCCTTTATTACAGTGGTCCAATTTAAGCAGCCCCTCTGCCCAGCCACTTTGGCTCTGTCTCTCTAAACATGAGTCCTTCCACACTACCTACACTAACCCCTTACACCCCCCACCCTCCCCCCGACTTAAACCAAATGATTTCCTTGCTTTGTGCAACTCTGCTCACTGTCAGATGCAGCTAAGTCAGAGCAGGGGCAAAACTAGGGCTGCTTAAACCAGCACTGCCGGGGGAAAAAAACTATCCAATTGCATCTGGAGGTGGGAGGGAGCTGCCCATGTTGAAGTGACTGGTGCTGAAATCACAGACCGTTATTTGCCATTAGCAGCAAAGCAAAAGCTTGAAGGTGCTTTGAGGAATGACTGTCTTGTTTCCCACTTGGAGCAACTAAACCCGGTACTCTCAGGGCTTTGCAGGCATGGCTTCTGCACAAGCCAGTGACTGTGCAATTGCCATAGTGTCAGGCAGAATCTGCCAAACCAAATTAAAATGTCACCTGTCGATAAGCCTTGTTGCCATGGTGACAAGTGCTGCTTCAGCAAAGGCTGCTCTCACTTGGGGGAGTGGAGGAAATTCTTGTGGTTTTCTCCATCTCATGCAAAAAATGTCTTGCCCTTTTCAGAGTTTGGAGTATTAGTGTCTCTTCCGCCGGAAGTTCGTTCCCCCCAGCACTAAATGGTTCCCTTTATAGGACTGTAGAGCTCCTGCGGATGGCAGATATTCTCTGGACCTGATGGCAGGACACCGTAGACTTGGCTGTTGTTGCATGACATGTTTTTGCAACGTTTGAGTTTGTAAAACAGTCCTTGGTTGCCAAATCTTTTTCCCCCAAGCATTTGTTTTGTAAGTTACCCTCATCTTCATTTGGTGATCTTTGTTATCGTTATTGAGTAAATGGACTGATAAATTTACACAGCACCAACTGAGAAACCTTCCCTCCTCAGACAGCAGTGAGTATTTAACAGGAAAAACGCAGGAATTGGCAAGTCTCTGTTGGTTCACTTGTCAAATGGCAGCACTGATGATCTGTGAAGTTGTTCTGTTTGCTCCAGTGATTTGGAAACAGCAGGAGAACTCTTCTGAAGTGGTGATGGCTTTTAAGGGGCCGGGATGGGGAAGGGGGGTGATTTTAAGCAGAGGAGGTAGGGTCTGATTATGTTCCTAATCAGAGAAGTGATAGTGGGAAACAGAACAGCATGGGGGGTTGCACATACCACTAAAATCCTGTCCCTTAGCTTGATGCTTTAGAACAAGTGTGTGCATTTGCAAAAGAGGCCCATTCAGAGTTGTGTACTTACGGTGTTTTGTGCTAACTGTAAACAAAGGCATGCAATTATGCTGGGGGGGGGGGGGGAACTGCCCTGCAAAAATGGCAGATTATTTTTAATTCAGGACTTGGTGTAGCAGGAACTGTTACAGTCCCATTTCAGTGGAAGTCAGGAACCACACCACAGAGTAATTTCCAGGAATTTCTACCCTGCACCATAAGCATGTGTCTTGCATCTGCAAAGCAACACTACATATTACTGTTCTCGGGGTTATATGGTGTCTAGAGTGATTTCTGTGGAACTTTTACTGGACACTTGTGAGAACGTTTGGTTGTTTGCTGGGGAGGTGCAGAAAACTTTCTCTGCACTAAGCTGTGGTCATATACATGATGTTACATCTGTAGCCAGTGAAGTCATATTTGAGGGCCTGTTACAGCTTGGAGAGCATAAAGTAAGTGCTGAGAGTTTCTCCAGCCTGTGAAGAGGCTGAGACTTCCTACTGCATAATGTTTAATTAAAATCACCTGGATCAGCCAAACCTAGAAGTATTTTTTCAGTGCGTGCACTTTTTGCTTTTTATCTTGTCAGCATCTGAGTTTGTCCACATAGGGTATGTAAAGTGGACAGTTTTGGCTTTAAACGACATCGTCATTTACAGAAACTTCTGTCTTCTTCCTAGAAAGCATCCTGATCACGCCTTTGCAGCTTCAAGCCATAAGCCTTAACTTTGCCACGTGGGTGCGTGGTGCTTCAAGTCATACAATAATGGGGAATCCTCTGTGAATTCCTTATCATATGCATAATACCAAACAGGTGAAGTTTAAAGAGTACACTTAAGTGCTTGTCTAGTTTCCATTAGGGTTTTGTAGTTTTCTAACACTTAAAACATGTTTGAGAGCTCTAATGTAACTCTTCTTTGGGGGGGAAGGCAGGAATGGTTTAAATCACTAAAAATACATGTTTGGGACTGTGTAAATGTTTGGATCAAGCAGTATATTTCTAAAAATGGATGTGAAGTACAAAATGGGATCTAAATATAGAAACACAGAATTAAGAAACCAGACATGGTATTTGTCTAGAAAGAAATTAATGCCTTGCACATTTTGAAAAGAATGTTCCTCAAAATACTGAATTTTCACCATTTGTATTACTACCAATGTAAAATAATACATGTTGACTAGAATGTGCAAAATTAGGATTATCTTAAAGTTCAGTTCTGTCAAGCTTCTTGTTGGCAATTTAGAATAAAAAGGTTATGAATACTGTTGGACTCATTTTATATTTCTAAAAGACATCTGCAGTGACTTGTTATACTCTTGTTCTGTTGAATAAGTAAATGCTTACACAGTAAGCCCTCCACTCAACCTTTATTTGATTTTTTTTTTTTGTCACTTTGAATGAAAGTGGTGACAAATGTCAGCTGTTTGATTGTTTCTGGTTTGACTGCACTACCTTATTTGCAGGATTTGTGGGCCAGAGCATTACAATTTTACAGATAGCTGCCATAATTAGGCCCCATTATCCTAAACTCATTTAATTGCCAGTCGGTGAAAGACTGGCAGTACTTAGTGCAGTAACTACCTGCTTTTTGTTGGGTCTCACCACTTGTCTGCACTGCAGAGGAGGTGAGCTTTGGGCGCACCTACTCCCAGGAGGCACATTATCCCAGGCCTCAGCTCTTTGTCAGGGTGAGTCCTGGGAAAGCACTGTTCTCCAATAGCCCTGCCTTCCTGGAAAGGACCAGGTGGGCTTGGAAGGTCGTGGTTGTGACTTCGAAGCATCCCCTGGCCACAATAATCGGCGCATAGGGACCACAAGAAGTGGGTTTGTCTTGTAGAGTAGGTGCAGCCAACACCTGACAGAGCTCTGAGATCTGAAATCCCATGTCCTTCTGGGCAAGTTCCTCAAGCACGTCCTGCACATGTCACTACCTGTGGAGAGCAGGAAACCCATCATTTTACTGTTCCCTGCAGTGATTTGGCAATGCAAGATTAACAGGCTGTAAGGATGTAAAACACAAAGATGACCCTTCTCCAGCATTATGACCATTTAAAATCTCAGTATCGTCTATCATTGGGCTGTTGGCTCCCTCTGATTGTTTTGTATTTACCACAGGACAAGGAATATTTTTAAAGGTATGCCAAATGGCACCGACTCCAAGGTGGCAGAGCAAGGACTTTCATGTGACTATCACTGTGGTCACAGCCACGTATTCCTGTGTTAAATCCTCAGTCTCTCTTGTGATGGGCGGGCTGTGCAGTGCTGGAGCCTTCACCCCCTTCCCTAGAGGCTGGATGTGTCCC